TCTGTCCCCTAGGAGTCTTGTCTAGTTAAAGGGTGTCCATGATCCCTACTACTAGAAGTCTTAGCTAGTGTACCCCTCATATCCTCCCAGTGGCCTATTCTTACAATTCTGCAGCTATTATGGAGATGCTCCCACCTACTGTTTTCCTTTTCTCTGCAGACCTTTTGCCCTTCAGACCAACCTTATTTCTGAACTCCATCCTTACTTTTCTCTTCACTCTGCCTTTTATGTTGTTCCCACTCTTCAAAAAACTACCACTGTCTATTCTATTTCCTCTTCTGAGTGAGATTTATGCATCCTCCTTCGGCTCCTCCTTGTTGCTTATCTTCTTGGGGTCTGTGCATTGTAGTATGTCTATCCTGTACTATATGACTAAAATCTACTTATAAGTGAGTACATAGCATGTGTGTCTTCCTGGGAGTGTGCTACCTCACTCAGGATGATCTTTTCTAGCTTTCCACTAGTCTGCAGATTTCATGGTTTCCTTGTTTTAAATGGCTGAGTAGTATTCCATTGTATAAATGTACCACAATTTCTGTATCTATTCTTTAGTTGAGGGACATCTAGATTGTTTCTAGTTTCTGGCTATTAGAAATAAAGCTGCTGTGAACATGGTTGAGCAAATGTCCTTGTTGTATATTGGAGCATCTTTTGGGTGTATTCCCAAGAGTGGTATAGTTGGGTCTTGAGGAAGGTACTTTATTTCTGCTTTCACTTTCATGATATTCTGTGAGCCTTTATCACACCATTCAGAGACTCGGAAGCCTTCCTTATATTGCAACTGACAGCCACCACACTTTCCTAAGTTCCAGAAAGAGCATTAACTGAAATGGAATACCCACCCAACAAAGACAAGAATAGATATCAACACCTATCATTCCAAACTGAGATTACTGGATATCAGTTCTAAAAACATAATAATTAACACACAAGACAATATGTCTTCACTAGAATCCAGCAACCATACTACAGTAGGCCCTGAGAAATGCAATATAGGTAAAACAGAAGACAAGGACTTCAAAATAGCTATTAAGGATATGTTCATGGACCTTTAAAAGGATACGAATAAATCCATTGATTAAGTATATAAGAACACAGTGAAATTAAATGATGAAAATTGCTCAGTGGAAACAGAATGAATAAAGAAAATGCAAACTGATCTAAAACTGGAAATGAAAAATTTAAGAAGTCAAAAACCTCAGAGGTAGACCTCATCAATAGAATACAAGAAATAGAAGACAAAATCTTGGGCATTGGGGAATTTGTACCTAAAGAAATTTATACCCAAAATAAATGTTAAATATAGAAATCACAAACACCAAATATTCAGGAAATCTGGGCACTGTAGATATTGGTAGAAGTTGAAAAAAGGAGAAGAAAACCAGGTCTGTGGCACAAAAAAATATTTTCAACCAAATTGTAAAAGAAAGTTTCCTTAATCGAAAGAAAGATGTGCTTTTCAAGGTATAAAAAAGCATACAGAGTTAATTTTCTATTCAGCTGCTTTGCTGAAGATGTTTATCACTTGTAAGAGTTCCCTGATAGAATTGTTGGGGTCACTCAGCTATACTACCATATCATCTGCAAATAATGATACTTTGACTTCCTCCTTTCAGAATTGTATCCCTTTGATCTCCTTTAATTGTCTTATTGCGCTAGCAAGGACTTCAAGAACTATGTTGAAGAGATATGGAGAGAGTGGGCGTCCTTGCCTTGTCCCTGATTTCAGTGGGATTTCTTTAAGTTTCTCTCTGTTTAATTTGATGTTGACTATAGGTTTGCTGTATATTGCCTTTACTATGTTTAGATATGTGCCTTGTATCCCTGATCTCTCCAATACTTTAAACATGAATGGATGCTGGATTTTGTCAAATGCTTTTTCAGCATCTAAAGAGATTATCATGTGTTTTTTTTTTCTTTCAGTTTGTTAATATGGTGGATCACATTGATGGATTTCCATATGTTGAACCACCCCTGCATACCTGGGATGAAGCCTACTTGGTCATAGTGGATGATATCTTTGATGTGTTCTTGTATTCGGTTTGCAAGTATTTTATTGAGTATTTTCACATCAATGTTCATAAGGGAGATTGGCCTGAAATTCTCTTTCTTTGTTGGGTCTTTGTGAGGTTTAGATACCAAGATGACTGTGGCTTCACAGAATGAGTTTGGTAGTGTTCCTTCTGTTTTTATTTTGTGGAATAGTTTGAAGAGAACTGGAGTTAGCTCTTCTTTGAAGGTCTGGTAGAATTCCATGCTGAAACTATCTGGTCCTGGGCTTTTTTTTGGATGGGAGACTTTTGATGACTGCTTTTATTTCCTTAGGGGATATAGGGCTATTTAATTGATTTACCTGGCCTTGATTCAGCTTTGGTAAGTGGAATCGATCCAGAAAATTGTCCATTTCATTTAGATTTTCAAATTTTGTGGCATATAGATTTTGTAAATAAGTCCTAATGATTGTTTGGATTTCCTCAGTGTCTGTAGTTATGTCCCTTTTCATTTCTGATTTTGTTAATTTGGATAGTGTCTTTTTGCCTTTTAATTAGTTTGGCTAAGGGTTTGTCTATCTTGTTGATTTTCTTAAAGAACCAGCTCTTGGTTTCATTGATTCTTTGAATTGTTTTATTTGTTTCTAATTGATTGATTTCAGCCCTGAGTTTGATTATTTCCAGCCATCTACTCCTTTTTGGTGTGTCTGCTTCTTTTTTTTTTTTTTCTAGGTCTTTTAGGTGAGGCACTAAGTTGCTTCCATGAGATGTTTCAAATTTCTTCTTGAAGGCACTTAGTGCTATGAACGTTCCTCTTAGCACTGCTTTCATTGTGTCCCATAAGTTTGGGTGTGTTGTACCTTCATTTTTATTGAATTCTAGAAATACTTTAATTTCTTTATTTCTTCCCTGACCCAGGTGTCATTGAGTAGCAAGTTGTTCAGTTCAGTCTCCTAGTGAGTACCATACTAATGGAAACAGGGACTGTCTCTGACATGAACTGATTGGCCTGCTCTTTGATTACCTCCCCCTGAGGGGGGAATAGCCTTACCAGGCCACAGAGGAAGACAACGCAGCCACTCCTGATGAGACCTAACAGACTAGGATCAGAAGGAAGGAATAGAAGACCTCCCCTACCAGTGGACTTGGGGAGGGGCATGTGTGGAGAAAGAGGAGTAAAGGAGGGATTGGGAGGGTAGGAGGGAGGGAACTACAGGGGGAATACAAAGTAAATAAAGTGTAATTAATAAAAAAGCATGTAGAAAATCAAATAAACTAGATAAGAAAATAAATCTAAAATTCATAATGATCAAAACACTAAATATACAAAACAAAGGATGTAGAAAGTAGAAAGGGCAGAGAACAAGTGACATGTATAAAACACATTAGAGTAAGACCTGACAACTCAATGGAGACTCTAAAAGCCTGTCAGCTCAGATAGATAATATACTCAGCAACAATGTCAATCACAATAAATGCAAAAAACAAAACGTTCCACAATCAAGAAATCCAGCTTTACAGAAGGTTCTAAAAGGAAAACTTCAACCTGAAAAGTTAACAACAGCCATGAAAAGACAAGAAATAAATAACCCGAAAGCAGTAAATCAAAAAAGTGAGAGGAGCCAATACCGCATCAACAAATTACAAGGAATCAATAAACATTGCTCATTGATAATTCTCAGTATTAACATTCTCAATTACCAAATTTAAAAAATAGGAGTAAAAATTAGGATTCATTCTTTGGCTGTATTCAGGAAACACACCTCACTATCAATAATAGACATGACCTCAGGTTAAAGGACTGAAAAAATATATTGCAAGCAAATGAATACAAGAAGTAAGCATGTGTAACCATTTTAATATGGGACAATATAGATTCCAAATCAAAACTAATCAGAGATGGGAGGAACACTACATATTCATTTCAGGAAAAAATCCACCAAGAATACCATATTTCTAAATATCTATGTACCAAATACAAAAGCACCTAAGTTTGTGAAAACAATCAAACAAACAAAAACGCTACTATAGTCAATCATATATTGACCCTCACACATTGATAATGGGGAATTTCAGTACCCCACACTCACCAATATATAGGTCACCCAGACAGAAACAAAACAAAGAGATTCTGGAGCTAGTTGACTGCACAAATCAAAAGGACTTAACAGATATTTACAGAACATTTCCTCCAAACACAAAAGAAAACATCTTCTCAGAGGCTCATGGAGCTTTATCCAAAATTGACCACATAGTTGAACAAAGAGCAAGGTTCAACAGATAAAATAAAATTTAAAAAAGACCCTGCATATTATCTGACCACCATTGATTTAAGCTGGATTTCAAGAACAACAGAAAGTATTCAAACTCCTGGGATCTAAACAACTTACTACTGAATGAAAAGCAGGCCAAGACACAATTTATGAAGGAAATTTAAAACTTTTTTAGAATTAAATAAAAATAAAAAACACATTATACCAAAACCCATGGGAAACATTGAGGGAGTTCTAATGGGAAAATTCAGAGCATTAAATGCCTGCAGAAGAAGGAGGAGGCGGAGGAGAAGGAGGAGGAGGAGAAGGAGGAGGAGGAGATGGAGGAGGAGAAGGAGGAGGAGAAGGAGGAGGAGGAGGAGGAGGAGGAGGAGGAGGAGGAGGAGGAGGAGGAGGAGAAGGAGGAGGAGGAGGAGGAGGAGGAGAAGGAGGAGGAGAAGGAGGAGGAG